ATTCTTGTTATTAGATAAATGTCTATTTCCGTGTGTTGAAAAATATTAATGCTTGATCTTTTTTCAACATATTTAACTAAAAAATGCAAGCATGTGTTCTAAAAATAAATGCATCACTCTCATCATTGGTACCAATTGGTAGGTCCATAAGTTCTATACTTGTCAGTGGACAAAAATGTAACTTATGCTTACTTAGGGGTGGACGCAGAAATTTAAAGTAAGTGGGGCACAATCGAACTTGCAAAAAAATTGGGAGAAATTTTACAATCGAAAATTTATGTCTAAAAAAATTATACTCCATGTAATTTTGCATCCGAAAATTTACATGAGATATGACTTTTTCGGATGTAAAATTTCGAAATTTTTTGATATCATACTCCATATAAAATTTCCTAATAAATAAAAATTATATTCAGAAATTTGTACTGCAAAAATAATAAATGTTAATGAAATAATTAAATTTTTTTTTAAAAAAAATGCGAGTTAGACGTATTTCTTTAAGACTCACGTTTAACTATTTTTGATATCTTTTTAGACTATTCGATATGCTCATAATGTTAATCTAAATAAGTTTTAAGATGATATAAGTAATTTGTGGATTCGATTAGCGTACGATTGTTTGAAATTTTTTAATATTAGCTTGTTATCAAAATTCAAATTTATTGTGATTTTGCCTTGTTTGATTGAGATTAAAATCAAATTTTTAGTCAATTTTGATAAAAGTTAAATAGTTATGGATTTCATGAAATATGTTATCAGAATTAATTGTCAACATTTTGATTTAGATTAAAATTTAGATTTCAATCAATACCAAACATAACTTTTAAAAAGGAAAAAAATCAAAAGTTTGGGGGGAGGGGGGACGGTCCCCCTAGGACCCCCCTTGGGTCCGCCCCTATGCTTACCCAACTCAAGTTTCTTATCTACTACATCGGGGGATTTTGTGAATAATTTATAAGCCAAATTCCTATTGCAACTGGCGGCGTTGGACTTCATAGTCTGTACAGTTTTTGATGTATTTGCCATGATTGACTCAGGAAATCAAATTTCTTCTTTGGTAGTTGGTTATCGAATCTATTATGGTAGGGGAAATGCTAACTATACGGCCAAACAAACGCCGACTTGCGAAAAAAAAAATTCCATTTTTACTTTTTTTTTTTTACTATCTATTACTCTACCTTCCCTGTTGACTTAAAAAATAATTTTATCATTGTTGAAAGTATTTTTGAATAATCTTT